TGTAGCCATTGCTGTGTGGTGATGTCCTCTTCAGGCGGGTATATGATCGGTATCATGAATGCGGGTGGCGGTGGGTGTGGCGGTACGTGCATGTACGATGGCGACCATTTGACCATTGCAGTGAATGCAGGTGCTGGTGTGGTTACCGATGCTGTTGTATTGTTGGTGTAAGGTATGCTCTTCGGCTGTTGGACTGGGTGCGCTGGCGGTGGCTTGTGCGGTCGATGGTGTGATGCGGTCGTGATTGCAGTGGTCGTCTTACGAATGCGTATATTTGGCATGGGCTTGCTTGGTATCGTGTTCAGTGTTGTTTGCGTGTGTGGTGAGCTGTCATGTCGTGTGGTTGCTGGTGGTGTGAGCACTTTAGGTTGCTCTGGTTGCTGTGTAGTCTGGTGTTCCGCTGCTTGGCTGTGTGGGTTGTCAGCTGTGTTTGTGGGGCTGATCGGTGCGATGTTCGCGGTCCATGATGGTGGTAGAGTGGGTGCGAGTGGTTTGAGCACGGGTTGTGTTGATGGTGGTGGTGGTTTGGTTGGTATTTGTTGAGTCCTTTGTATTGTGTTGCTCATGCGTTCTTTGTCGTTGGAGTTGTTGTTGCTGTCGCGCTACTTGGTGAGGTGGGGCCTTGGATCTCGTGGGTTGCAGATGTGTTGTAGTAGATGCGCCGTGTCTCGTAGTCGTATTGCCCCGTTGTATTTTATGTCGTGCTTGTTGTGGCATGTGTTGGGCCATTGTGTTGCTTCTTGTATGGCTGTTAGCTTGGCATGGCTGAGCGATGCATGTCTTCCTGCGATCAGCGTGGCGATGTGGTCGTATGTCGGGGCGGCTTGTACTCCGGATGTTATGCTGTCGCGGTATTGTGCCGCAGTTGCTTGCATGTCGTTGCCGTATCGTTGGGAGTTCGGTTGCTTGGGCGGTTTGTGCAGTGTTGGATGTGGGTCTGCTGTCGCGGCGTGTTTGAGCTTAATCCGTGTCGCGCAGGCCGCAGCGGGCAGTGCATAGGTGAGTAGCGTCGTGGCTTGCGGGTCGGGTCGCAGAGATGGATGCTGTAGGTATTGCTCGCCGTCAAGGTGTGCAAAGATCTCGTTATTGTATTTGTTGGGGTACCTGTGCAATCCAGGTAGTAGTTGGTAAGCGTTGAAGAACCTAAAATGGGCATGTGTTGGTTGCTCTGTGGTAGTATTTTGCACGGTGCCACATGTCTTCTCCCTGGATGTCCTCGCCTGCGTCGTCGGCGCAGTGACAGCAGGCGGTCCAGCCACTGGGGAGGTGCATGTCATGATATCTGTTAAGTATGAGTGCTGGTAGTGAAGGTTCGCGGGGGTCAGATGTTCGGCTCATCTTGGCCCATGGGTCGTCTCCGTCGTTTCTGTTGACATATGATGCTGAAGCGCCGTAACCTTCGCATTGGTAGTCTCTCCAGTGTGCCGTTAGTGCGTCGTCGTTGGTCTGCGCCGGTGGCATCGGCATCCGCAGGGTTCGGCCGGGATGTGCTCGCGGTTGTCTTCGCAGTTTTATGGTTTCGCGGTTCTTGAAGATGAGGTTGAGTATAGTTTGTTCTGGTGGTAGCATGTTCCTCTGACCGTTGCACATGTATCGTAACTCTTCCAGGTGGTCGCAGAAGTCCTTCTCGATGCCATACCGCTCTGCGAGATGTTGTTGTACCCATGCGTAGTGCTCATCGTCTGGTGGTAGGTCGGTGCGGAAACGGACGCCGTTTTTTGTCTGTATGAACTTCGGTGGGTCGTTTGTGAATTGTGGTCCATGAGGATGTGATAAGAAGTCGGATTGCTCGGCCTGAATGCAGTTCGGATTGTAGGCGTCGTAGATGACGTATTTGCTTGGGTAGAGCTCTGTGATGGGCGTAGGTCCGAGGCTTCCAGTGGCATGTGGCCACTTGGGGTTGTGTCTGGTAGGTGATTTGAACTCGTGGCACGGTGGAGGCATTGGGCCTGCATGGTACTTGGGCTAGTGGCGCGCAGTGCCCTCCCAATGGTTAAGCAGCTCGCATTCAAGGTTAGTGGCGTCTTCTAGTTCAACGTATTCGGGCTGCTCGTATGTGACTGGTGGGGTGATTGACGCCAGCTCTTTCCTAGAATGCACGGTGCCCGTGGTGGGTGGAGGGTCGAGGCGCTTGATGCGTGTAGTGCATCTGCGAAGTGGTCGGTGAGTGGAAGCAGCTCAGGCCCTGAGGCGACGTTTTGGTGTGAGTCTGTCATTGAGCACGTGAAGGTACGTGCCCCGTAGTTCTCTACGTCGTACTTCAACTTCGCGTGGATGGCGTAGTTTTCGTCCATCTGGAGCTTGTACCGCTTGCTGCTCTGCTGGCAGTATATGTTGTATAGGTTCTCTTTGAGCTTTTGTTGTCTGTACCGTCTTCATTTAAGTAGGAGTGTTTCAGTCGTACCTTGTTGTGGTCGATGTCGTTGCTGAGTTGTTCCCATGTGCTGTGTATGACTGGTGCCTTGCGTACGTATCTTGGCGGCTCCTCGCCGCCGATGAACGGCTAATGGTCGGGTCTGTAGTCGGCTTTCCTGTAGTATGGCATTTCCATCGGCCGCTGTGACCAGTATAGCTCGACCGCGTGGTGTGAGCATAGGTATTTCCAGCCAGCGCGTGCTGATGTGAGTCGTTCGTTTACTAAGGTGAAGTAGTTCTTGCTGGTGCCGGGTAGGTGTGCAATCGTGATATGCGTCTCTTTCTTGGCCTTGGCCCAACCTTTGCTGGCCGGTACAGGCAGGCACCCGTGGCCTACTCGTAGTGAGAAGTAGGCAAAGTGTTTCTCGATGTCGGCCTCGGTGATGATGTCTTGCGTGTCTGGCCCGACACGTGCGCGTCGTGGTTGAGAGCAGTCTGGGTCGCATGTGGATGGCGTAGCTGTGCGGAGTAGGTCGGGTCTGGTGTTTCCACCGCGGGTACCGATTAGTGGAGGTGTGGTGTCGTTTCATCCTTCAATGTATTGCTCGGCCGCCTGTCGGTACAGTGGTTCGAGCAGGTACTTGCGCTGCTTGGCGATGTTGTCGTCCTTCTTGGGTGACCATGTCACGTAGATCGAGAATGAGGGCAGGTAGTCGAACCGTGCTGCATTGGCCCAATTTTTTCCAAACCAGCATCGCTGTTGGTCGGATTGTAAGGGGGCGGCGTCGGGAACATTATGCTGAATCTGCCTTTAAGGGCGACCATGTCAGCAATGGATGTGAGCCTGATGGTAACGGAGGCTGTTTATGAGAAACCGTATTGGTAACCTTGTCAATCGGCACATGCTTTACAAGTGTCGTCGTGTCCATGTATAGGCCTTCCCTCGGCGCCACTCCCCCAGGTATGCTTCCAAAGGCTCCCATGCAGGTTATGAGGCTGTGTGTAACTGTCTCTGCCGTATGGGCGGTACGACGATGAGTAAACTCCTCTTCGGCCATGTACGTAGATTGAGTCCCTGCGTTCATGTTTGTGAACAAATGTATTGTCGCTTTAGTCCATTCCATGTGAACGTCCAATACGTGTCGCGGATGGGCTAATGAATGTGTTGTCGGCGCCTAAATTTGTCTGAACAATGGACATGCGTGTAAGTAGCTGGGGTGCCTGTCTTCTGACAGGTCGTATTACAGATGTACCTCCTTGATACATCGTAAGTTGCGCCTGGTCGTAGTTGGCCTTTTTCCAGGTCTGCCCCGTCGGGCTCACATACAAGGTATGGGGCAGTAATTGTCCTTTGTTCGCCTGTATGTGTTGCTTGTCGTTGGATTGTGGCTGCGTGGTATTGCTTGATGCTAGTGACGTATGCCCCTCCACCAGCCAGGTATCTGTAAGGCTCCCATGCAGGTTATGAGGCTGCTTGTTGTGTTGTAGTCTTGTTGTGGTTGTGCTGTTGGTCCGTTGTTGTTGAGCAGTGCTGAGTAGTGTGTTGCGCAGTTGTTATACAGGTGCTGCGTCGGTTTGTGGAGCGCTAACACACTGGAGCCAATAATGGTACGGAAGGGATGGGCACAAATGACTCTGCAAGGGCATAGCACTGGCGGATGTGAGCCATTGCGTCGACATGTAAAATCATCATTTGAATGTCACTGATCCCTGAGTGATTGAACGGGTTATCATGTAAGAAGAGGTTGATGTTGGGATGTGTGAGGGCTTGTAGTTCGCGCTGGGGGATGTTGGACTCATAATGGTACGTGTGCACATATAGCATCACGTATTGTTTACCGTAGGCGTGTGAGCATCGGACCCTGTCTGACCCTGTGCCAAGCATAGGTGCTTGAATTCGCTTACGTCGCTTCCGGTAGGCGTGTGAGCAACGGAGGTGTCCTTGTCGTATGATGAGTCCAAGATTTGAATTTAAGGAACTATAGATGTATAGGGACAAGATGTCTGTGTAACAGAACACTGGGTTGTGTTCCAGAATGGTGCAAATATTTTCTCTCTTCTCTCATGGGAGCACATCAAATCACTCTTCCTCCTCCTACTCCATCCTCCCCCTCAATCCCCTCATCATCATCACTGCTCCACCTCCTGGCGGCGGCCGCGTATTCGCCCGCGCCGCCCGGAGCATGATGGTCGGGAGCCGGTCGACACCCCCGCCGACCCTCTCAGAGGGCGCGGCACCCCCAGGGGTGGCCGGTTCATTCTCCTCATTCTCTTCCCCCTCCCCGTGTTCCGTCTCCACAGTGCCACAGTCTGCTCCACCCTCCTCGCGGCTGCCCTGGTAGGCAGTCAAGCGGGCAGCTAGCTGCAGTCGGTGCTCACGGATACCCCCCGCCGACCGTTTGGGTAAGCTAGCCGTCGCGTCCTTTGACTTGGCATCGCTCGGACATGTGCATTGTTTTTCTGCGAGGAGCACCTCGGATCATCGGGTTTAAGAATAAGCGCGCGAATCTGACAAACGCACGGGACAGTTACGTCCGAACGATGACATCAGTTGCCAGAGTGCGGAACATCAGATTGCCGTACTACTTCCTTCTCTTGCTTGCCCCCCCACCCCCCCCACCCCGCGTTTGCGCCTCCGCCTGGAGGCCCACGAGGCCGCGAGGGCGGCGGAGGAGGCCGCGAGGAAGGCGGCCAAGGAGGGCGACGCGCCGCCATGGCCTTCCCCCCCCCCCGTCATGCCCCTCGAGGGCAACGATAAGGGGGATAGGCACATGCCGTGTCCAAGATCCCGAATAGCAGGCCGACAGAAGCTTCCCCAAGGTTCTTCGAAGGAGCTTTGGCAGCTCTGGGAAGGAATTCTGGAAAGCTTGACGGCACACGTAATGGGAAGCAGTTGGACAAGACTTTGCAGGATAAGCTGCAACGCCAGGCAAGCCGTTGCGACCTTGGTTGACCCAGGCCAGAACGAGCTCGGGGGCAACGATAGGGCGGGATAGGCAGAAGGAGGGACGTATCGACCCCCAATCGTCTACCGATCGCCGATCGGGCTCGGATAGCCTCACCCGCCAAAGAACGTGGGGATTTGCCATCGGGGGCCCATTGCCGATCTATCGGTGAAGTTTATCCGATCCCAGGTAGATGTTCCCCTCTATACTAGTCGGTCCCTGTTCTCGCCCCTCACCTACGAGCTGCGAACCTATCCATTTCTGCGTCCTCGCGGTCTCGATTTCGGGGCGAAGCAATTTGTTCAGAGGGGACGTTTTGCCTAGTTTCGGGCCCCTGGACCATCACAGATCGCTCAGGATCGAAACATGAGGCAGATATGTTAGGTCTACACCTTATGCGATGCTTAAGAAAACCTACGTTTTCGTCCAGAGTCTCGATTATTCTTAATTTTTCAATGTAAATCCCAGGAGAAGTTCTGGGTTACATTCAATTTCTGAGACTATGAATTTCTTAACCCATGATTTCTTAAGCATTTCGCAGGGTCTAGTGCGCCGGTCGTGATTTTTCGCGAGGGTGCAGTTCGTTTGCGGCGTCGGATCTCGGGGATCCGCGCCCGCGCGGCCTGGGTGCCCGGGCGCGATCCCGTAGATACACGTTCGCATGGACACTTTGCGCGAGGTGCATCCGCGGAAACATACGCCGCGGGCGATGTTTCTCCCCCAATCCCCGAGTTTCGCCCGAAAAGTCTGGCCGCTCAGAAGAATGGGAAAACCCTGGGATACACCCCAAGGGGGCTATTCGGACGCACCCCTATCGAGAATGGACACCCCCCCATCGTATATCCCAGGGTTAGGCCCCAAATTTCTGGTCCATTCGGAAACCCCACGAAGCCTGGGATAGGGGTCGACATATCCCCTGTTAATACGCCCGGTATCCGTGGGGTCGCGGCCCAGGGGTGGGGGCCCAAGGAATGTACACCACCACCGCTTTCCAGCGAGAGGGAGGGGGGGAGGGAGGAGGTGGTGGTGTACATTTTTGGGCCCCCTGCAGGGCCTCGGCCCCCGCGAGACCGTGGGTGCGGACAGGCTTCCCGTCCACGAGTCCCAGGAGGGCCTGGTTTTCTGGATGCTTTCGGGTGAGAGCCAGGTCGCGACGGAAGTTGTTTGGCAGTCTCCGGCTAGTCCATCGCAGATGTCTTTCACAGATGCCTGGCTAGTCCATCGCAGAGTTTCGCCTCAATGCCGACGCATCGCCTGACGGATGGATCGGCTGCAGGAAAATATCTGTAGGTGCCGTGGTGATCGGACCACAGCACACAAAAGGATGTATTAGCCACGCGTGGGCGTGAGGATGGTTTTGTATGGATTAGAAGCAGGCGGTGAGCCGATGCGCGGAGGCAGAAGTAGAAAACACCCTGGGATAAGTACGAGTTGTTGTGTTCTGGGCGATGCTTGGTTCGCAAGCGTTGCGGCGCAATGTATTCGATCTGGAGCATGAAAGCTGGTCTATTCACATTGGGACCAACGATCTGTTTTTAATCCAAACTAGGGTATCCCAGCTGCGAAGTCTCAGCTAAGCAGTCGAAGACATACAGTCTGGACAACATGCATGACGTGAACAGGAGGGCATCCGAGAGGACACAAGGCTGGAGCTGGAGCCAGAGCTCGGCTTGAACTGAAGCCAGAGCTGGAGCTTGAGCTGGAGCCTGGTCTGGAGCTGGAGTTGGAGCTGAGTTGGAGCTGAAGCTGGGCCGTGGCTGGAGCTTGGCAGCTGCTGGGCTGAAGCTGGGCCTGGGTTCTGCTGAACTGAGGCTGGAGCTGGAGCGAAGTTGCAGCTGGAGCTGGAGCCCTGCTGGATCTGGGCCTGTGCTGGAGCTGGGTTCTAGCTGGAGCTCCAGCCGGAACTGGGGCTCGAGCTGGAGCGTGGGCTGGGGCTCGAGCGGGAGCTTGGCCAGGAGCTGGAGCTCGAGCTGGACCTGGAGATTGGGCCCGATCTGGGGCTGGAGCTGGGCTCGAGTTACAGCTGGGGCTGGAGCTGGGGCTAGGGCCGAAGCGGAGTGAGAACTTGAGCTGGAGCTGGGCGGGAGCTACAGCATACGAGCAATAGGAGCACTACGCGCTGGAGGGTGGGCTCAAGACGCTCAAAATCCGCCCCAGACGTTGAATTCTGGTAGCATAGAGAGCAGCAAGCGCTGGAGGTGAGGCCCCGGAGTGAGGCTCTGGCAGCACGAAGAGCATCCAACGGTAGAGGTTTGGCTTCAGATGCTCAAAACCAGCTCCCGGAGATCAGTTTGGCTATCAAGGTTGCATCCCCGTGATCAGACTCAGGCCCGAGAGTGGATATGCGGCAACACGAAAAGCCAGCTGGTTGCACCGGCCGCGCCCTGAGTCTATCAGACCCCGTCCCCAGAGTGGAGTCTTGGAAACAAGCATCAGTTCTCGAAGGTCCGCGCAGATTACTTGAATCGGCGCTGGACTCCCCCCTGCCTAGCGCACGGATCGCGCCAGGGGCGGCGCCAGAAGCGCCGCCAGAGGTTCCCAGCGCCGGTCCAAAAAATCCTCGTAGCGCGTCGAACATTTTGAAATTATGCAGTTGTATTGTTTCCGAGCTGCCCTTCGGAGCGTTGCACGCGGAGAATCAGAAGCTAGCCTGGGAGAGGGGCCCTGGCAGCATTCTGCCCTGCCCGCTGGCACGGCCCCAGCGTGGAGGAGAGAGTGACAGAGCCTTGCTGGACACACGTATCGGGAGCGGCCAAGAGAAAGGTGATGGCTAGGGGGGGTGGATCTCATGACGGGGCCCCCATGAGATCTCCGCAGATCTCACGGCCCCCCCTTCTTCTTTCAATGCGTTCCCTGCCCCCCCCTCTGGTCCCCGTACTTGCCTCGGGCCATGTTTTGCGATCCCCCCGCTTGGACCCCCACCTTGAACGACCCCTAGCCCCTAGCCTAGTTGCGGACCAGTAGCCCCGCAAAGTTCTTGATGCATCTCTGTTTTGGGGGGCGGGGGCCGTCAAAGATGGTGCGCGGGATCCAAACTAGCCAACGATAGATGTTGGAGACTTGCATGGGCTAGTTTCTGGAAGAGTCACGACGCCTGGAGGCTGGAGGATCGAGGTTGAGTTTGTGGGTGTGTGTCGCCCTTCTTGGTGGCTTTGCCGTTTGGCCGCAGCCCGCATGCTCTCCCACGGCACTCTCACGCCGGCCTTCACGGTCTGATCGGGATCCTTCTTTCTCTCCTCGCGCTTTTTTTCTGCGTCGCCTTCGTGCTTCAATTCGCTTCCGGTGCAGCCCACCGCTTGCTATGACCAGCGCCTGACCGTCTTGCACCACTTGGCGCCCGCGGACTTTAAAAAGTGGTGCCCTTGTTGGGGTTCGAGGGGTCTTCTCGTCGACACGATCTAAATGCCTTCGACATTATGTTCGCAACGCACCCCTGGACAGATCACCTCGGAGCCGCTCTCTTCAGGTGAGGACGCAAGGACTAGGAGGGAGAGGGAAGGAGGGTCAAGGGGAGCAGGGAAGGGAAGGACGAGAAGGAGGGGATGAGCAAGGGGAAGGGGAAGAGGAGGAACAGAGGGACGAGGAAGGCGAAAGGAGGATCCGAGCGAGGTAGAAGGAGGGAAGAGGGAAAAGGAATGCGGGAGCAGGAGGGAGGAGACTTAGGGCGAGGGAGGGGGTGGAAAAAGTGGGGGGAGAAGCAGGGGGGAGCAGGGGGAGCTTGGGGAGCAGAGGGAGGAGGGAGCGACGCACCGGCGGAATGGCGTACGAGATTGACGAAGGACATGCTGCTGACGCTGCTTCGGCTTCGGCCACTCTGCTCGGCGGCGGCGGCGGATCCAGGCGAGCATGTCGACGGCGAGCGACCCAGGCAAGCTCTCAGAACAGGAAAAGGCGCCGATACCGCTTCCCCCGTCGCAACCGCAGGATTCACATCGAAACTCAGGTCAGGACGCACCCCTGGAAAGGTCTGGGGAGCCATGGTATCGGTACCTTTGTGTCCCCCCACGTTCGCCTGCGCAGGTGGTTTTGGTGCACGACTGATCGGGCCTCCCCGTCGGATCCCAGCGGTCAGCATTGGCCAGCGAGAGATAGCGAGAGAGAGAGAGATGTTTGACAGGGTCGGCGTATGTAGGTAGATGGCTTCGCCCGACCGTCATGACCTGTTCACTACGTGGCCCCCGTAGGTCTGGATCCATTCCTGGGGCCAGCTGTTCATCCCGAGACGTTTCTGGAGGTCCCGAGGCCTAGCCCAAGCTTTGTCCGACATTGCGGTCACCCCTTCTTCAAAATTGAGGGGTCCGAACAGTGGCATGGGAAAAGCGCCGTCCTGTTTTTGCTCCTCGACAAGGCGTCTGTGGATTCAGAGAGGGAGAGAGACAGAGACAGAGAGGGAAAGAGAAGCACGCAAACGACGGCAAGTGCGTAGGCGGGAGGCCAGGGTCGCAGGGACGAGGCGAGCGGGCGCTCAGCGGGGAAGTGGCCCAGAGTGATCTCGGGGCGCGCTGTCCAAGCACTTCGCCAGCGACGCGCTGGAGGCGAGCTGTTCGGGCGGCAGTGCATGTCCTTCTGCACCGCACCGGCGACGGAAGAATCATTCGAAGAAGGAGAAGAAGAACGCATGGTCCGCATCAACATCAATTTTCGGATCTCTGCGCGGTTTTCTTGCATCGGCGCGGGGGCCCCCTGGCGACGCCTCCGGCGCCGCCCCTGGCGCGCTCCGCGCGCCGGTGAGGGCGTCTCGGCGCAGATCCGAGCAATCCGCGCGCCCAGTCTAAAGGTCATGACCTTCGTCTAACATTATGGGCTCCTGCGACCTGCCAGCTGCGCTTGCGCGGAGACGTGCCGGCAGCGGCGTTGGCCAAGCAGTTTTGGAAGTCCCAGTGCAGCGTCTTTTCTGGCACGGGGATGTGGACGGAGAGATCGCAGCGTGGCGTCCACGGCGCCGCGGGCACATATTTCCGCCACCATCAAGACTGAACTCACCCGGAGGACTTCGACACATGATGATTTGATTTTCCAGGATGTGTGGTCGTCAACTGCCGCCTGTAAGCCTGTAAGGATCCCAAAGCATGTCAAACGGGGATGGGGAGGTGAATAGTTATAGGGGTTGGGAGGGGAAAGTGCGGAAAAGAAAGAAAGAGCGCATAAAGAGAGAGAGAGAGAGAGTGAGCGAGAGAGAGCAGGAAGCACTAGGGAAACGTAATGTATATGCACGTGGAGACATAGAAGAAAAGCATCATCTCGGAGAGGGAGGCACAGATCGAGGAATAGAGAGAGAGAGAGAAACAAAACAAGGAACCGCGGTACCTATATATATACACACACACACGGGCGCCCATGCGCGCGTCCGCGCGCCCAGCACGAGCAAACAAATGCACAGACACACCATTATATATAGAGTGAGAACCACAGGGAGAGAGAGAGAGAGAGGGCAAATACTGAGATACAGAGAGGGGGGAAACAAGAGAAATAGTGAGATATCAGTCTGGAGATACAAGATAGTGATAGAGAGACAGAGAAAGAGAAGGAGAGAGTGAGCGATAGGCAGAGAGAGGCAGAAAGAGAGACATGAAGCGATGTAGGCAGACATACAGAACGATTGACATATGATGACATACCGACATACACACATCCATATTTCCAAATGTATGTGTCTGTACAAGCATACGCGTGTCTGCGAAGCGTCGCAGGCTCAGGGGCAGACAGACAAACGACAGAGGAGAGATAACAGCACGACGAGACAGAAAAGGGAGATACACATCTATATAGTGTGAGAGGGAGGGAGAACAGAGAGAGAGAGAGTGAGACATCGAGAGAAAGAGAGAGAGAGAGAGAGAGAAAACATATTGAGCGAGTTATGACGCTATAAGATGATGGATCTGTCAGAGAGGGGAAGAAACTGAGGAATGATATGGTGGAGAACAAGGAGGTCGAGGAGGAAGAAGAGGGTGGAGGATTTGTAGATGGAGGAAGAGGAGGAGGAACGGGGAGGAGAGGAGAGGAGGGCAGGGAGGAGAAATACGACGAGGACGAGGAGCGCGAGCAGGAGGGGGACGAGCAGCATCGGCTGATGAGGAGGGGGAGATGGAGTACCTCGATGGCGGCGGCTCTGCGGGCAAGCTCATGGGCACGAGCGCCGCTTGAAGAGAGCAGGGCTAGCAGCGGCGACGACTGACATCGAGCGTCACAGATATCGGCGACGTTCGTCCCTGGGTGTTCGGGCCACTCTGTAGTAATTGGGGTTCCTCAGGCCTCGTGAGGGGTGCTCTGGGGGCCGCGGGGGCCTTCCAGGAGATTCGGGGGGCACCCTGTCGGGAATCCACAGACGGTGCAGTGATGACACCGCGTGGTGAGCCAGTGGGGTTTCGAGGTCACCCGAGAACGCTTCGGGCAACTGTGGCCTCCGAGGTCCCGAAACAACATGCGGTGACGGACCGCGCGATGAGAGTGTTGGGGATTCCGAGGTCACCACGCGGTCCGTCGCCACACGGTCCTGGGGCCCCGAACTTTGGCAACACCCGCGACGCCGCCGACGGCGTCGGCGACGCCTTCGGGCAGCCGCGGCGCCGAGGAGGCCGCCGCCAAGTCGGCCGCGGAGGACGCCAGGAGGGCCGCGGACGAAGGCACGAGGCTGCGGGAGGAGGCCCTCCAGAAGAGGCGCGCGCGCGGGCACGCGAGTGCCCACGTGCGCCGTGGCCCTGGGGCGCGGGCGTGCGGGCTCCGCCTCCGGTACGCTGCGTCCTATCGTTGCGGAAAAATCACGAGGGCAGCTTCTTCCCCCCTTGTTCGGCCCCAGCCAGAGCCGTAACAAAAACAACCCGGGATAAAAAAAACCTGTCCCAGAGAAGGGGTCCAGACTTCGGGGGTCCGCGTTCGGAGATCGGGATAAGCGTGTGACCCTTCGCAGGTGTGGCCTCTGGCGCGGGACAGGGGTGTCCCCAGCAGTGGCCCGCGCGCTTGTTGGATCGGGCCTCCCCGCGACCCCTTTCACCCGCGCGCCAAAGGTCACGGCCGACCCAGACGGGGCGGAGAGGTGTTGGGGCGGGGAGGTCAGCACGGCCTCGGGTCCAGTGCCCAGCACCTCAGGTCAAGATGGCCTTGGCCCAGACGGCCAGACTGGCTTGAGTCAAAGAGGTCGGCGGCACCCCCCTCGCCTCTGCCACAGCTGAGTCCGCGAGGTCCGGCCCGATCCTCACTGCGATGCCGTCGCTCATGTTCGCGCTGCGTGCAGGGCCCTAGGTCCAGCGAAGTCTTTGGTCCATTCTTTGCCCAGCGTTCCTCTGACCTCTCTTTGGCACCCCGCCTCGGCCTCCTGTCCCTGCCCGCGGCGGGCCAGCCGCCGGGCTTCCAGGCAGCGATCTTTATTCCGACAGCTGGCGGCCCCTGCGACGGTTGGCCCAGGCATGGCCGATGCGACCTTTCCCTGGCGTCCGTGCTCTGGTCCGAGACTGGCCCCCACGAGACCCGCCTCTTTTGCTGCGAGCTCACGCTGTGCGACTTCGCCACGTTGGTTTCCACGCGTCCGAGCTGCCGCTCTGCAGCGCAGTCTACTTCCTCTCGGCCGTCAGCGAATAAAGGTGCGCGCGAATGAGACAATGCAGAACCCATAGACAGGACCCTGGGACACCTCCGACCTTGATTGCAACGCCTCCGCGCGCGGTGAGCGAGTCTGCTGTCTGACGGACGGGGCTGTTCACTGTCCTACAACCGACGCTGAAGTTGTTCGCGGTATTGCCCTGCCTTCTTCTGCTTGCGGCCCTCGTGGCAATCCAGCTGGCCGAACTTGCGACTGTATGTTCGAGCACGCCACGTCCGCCCTTGCCGTGGTCGCCGTATTCTGGGCCCGAGGCCGGCTTCGAGGCGACCGTGCTCTCCTGCTGCGAGCCCGTGCAAGCCGCCCCCCGTGAACACTGATTGTTACACACCCGAGAGCTACTCCGCCCCCCCCCCCCTCTCTTCCGCCGCTGGCAGGGGTTGACAGGACCCCTGAGTCCCGGCTACCATGACTCAGGATCCGCCGTAGTCTGGACGATTGTGCCTATCGGGCGGAAGCATCGGCCCTACTTTCAAGCTTCTCGGATGTAGATTTCCGCCATTCTTTTCCGACGTTGTTTCTGCAATACATTTGCGGAAATACCCGCCTTTTTTTCTTGAGGTGAGAATTTCTCCTTATTTAGTTTCATCGATTGGTGTTTATCTTCGGCACAAGTGTAGGTCGGGAAATCAACCAACGCGCGGCGGATCCGGAGTCAGGGTAGTTCTTCGGACCAGGGCTGGTTTGACAGCCACGTCTTGCTTCGGAGGTCTGCACGTCCAGGAAATTTAACCCTGCGAAGCACCCAACCCTGCGCAATTGTGAATACCAAGTTTTGGGTACCGCTTTCGGAATGAGCTCCCTGTGGGGCTACAAACCGTGTGAGGAGTGTGCCAAAATGGGCGTCGAGCGCGTGCGGCCTGTGCCTCAGGAGCCTTCGGTGGAGCTCCCTGTGGGGCCAGGAGCCGTGTGAGGGGTGCGCCGAAATCGGTGACGTTGACGCATGCGGACCCTGCCGCTGGGTGCCTTCGGTGGAGCTCACTGTGGGGCCACGAACCGTGTGAGGGGTGTGCCAAAATGGGTGGCGGTCCCCGCATGCGGACCCTGCCACTGAAGCCTTCGGTGAAGCTCCTTGAGGAGCCACGAACTGTGTGAGGGGTGTGCCAAAATGGGTGGCGGTCCCCGTTTGCGGACCCTGCCACTGGGGCCTTCGTTGGAGCTCCCTGTGAGGCCACGAACCGTGAGAGGAGTGTGCCACAATGCGTAGCGGTCCCCCCATGCGGACCCTGCCACTGGGGCCGTCGGTGGAGCTCCTTGTGAGGCCACGATCCGTGTGAGGAGTGTGCCAAACTGGGTGGCGGCCCCCGCATGCGGACCCTGCCGCTGGAGCCTTCGGTGGAGCTGCTTGTGGAGCCACGAGCCGTGTGAGGGGTGTGCCAAAATGGGTGGCGGTCCCCGCATGCCCTGTGGGGCCTGTGGGGCCACGAGCCGTGTGAGGGGTGTGCCAAAATGAGTGGCGGGCCCTGCCGCTGGGTCCTTCGTTGGAGCTCCCTGTGGAGCCACGAACCGTGTGAGGGGTGTGCAAAAATGGGTGGCGGTCCCCGCATGCGGACCTTGCCGCTGGAGCCGTCGGTGGAGCTCCTTGTGAGGCCACGATCCGTGCGAGGAGTGTGCCAAAATGGGTGGCGGCCCCCGCATGCGGACCCTGCCGCTGGGGCCTTCGTTGGAGCTCCCTGTGGAGCCACGAACCGTGTGAGGGGTGTGCCAAACTGGGTGGCGGTCCCCGCATGCGGACCCTGCCGCTGGGGCCTTCGGTGGAGCTTCCTGTGGGGCTACGATGCTGTGAGGGGTGTGCCAAAATGTTTGGCGCTGACGCACGTGGACCCTGCCGCTGGGGCCTTCGGTGGAGCTCCGTGTGGAGCCACGAGCCGTGTGAGGGGTGTGCCAAAATGTGTGGCTGTCCCCACATGCGGACCCTGCCACTGTGGGGCCACGAAGCGTTGGCTTGGGTGGCGTTGACGCATGCGGCCTGTGGCACTGGAGCCTTCGGTGGAGTTCCCTGTGGGGCCACGAAACGCTGGCCTCGGTGGCGTTGGCGCATGCATGCGGCCTGAGGCGGATGGGAAGAGGGAGGAGGAGAGCAGAGCAGAGCAGGGGAGACGCGGGGGGCTGTCACTTCAAAACGGGGACCCAACACCACAGGATGGTTGGGAAAACCTTGTCTTTGAGACGGTTGGTCCTCGCGACCCGCGCACACTCCTTCGGCTCTGACTGCAACGCCCCCGAGCTCGGCTGCAGCAGCGCGTGCGGCCTTGAGTGCCACACGACCAGGTAGGTCTCTGACAACGTTGGATGTTTTGTTTCATCCCGTTGTGATGATCGACGTTGTTTCTTAGTTCAACGCGCCGCCTTCGTTTCGGTTCCAGGTCTTGGATCGACCAGTGGCCCACCTGCCTGCTTAGATTGCGTCCTCACTGCGCCTAAACACGTGGCTGAGCCTCCCAATGCCGCCTGCCTGACGCTTACTTTCTGGGGTGCGGGTTGTTTGAACGGTTTTGGTAGAGCCGAGAGCGAAACATGGAAAACGGAAACAACACGCCCCAAGGATTTTTCAGAACAGTTCTGCGTTGGCCGACGCCTGCTTCTTTTACGCTGCGGCCCAGGTCCCTCCCAGCATTCTGCTCCTCAGTCCTCGTCGGCTCCCATTGCGTTGTGTTCGGCGCCTGGTTTAGATCCAGTGTGTTTGGCCTTGGCTCCCAACGACCTAGTCTTCTCAGTCGTCGAGGCATCTGGGTTCGGCGTGAGAGACTCCGATGCAGAGCCGATCGCAGACGTTGTCTCCAAGGATCTGGGCACAGCGGCCTTCGTTGGCGACCAGCTCCACGTGCCTGCGTCTCACGGGGAGGAGGAAATCTTCCTCGGAGGCGCGATGCTGGCTCTGGCATCACTCGGACGTGTGCACTGGCGTTGTGGAGGACGGTCAATGGAGAGGAAGCATGTTGCCAAGTAATTCCCAGATGTCCAAAACATGTGTTCAGCATGTTTGGAACATGCAAAACACATGCTTCAAACATGTTTAAGAACACTGTTCCGACATGTTATACACCATTTGTCATTGTCCATTGTCGCGGCATCCACAACACTGGCCCATCTCGCGAAACTGCAACACGCGAAACCGAGCCATGCACCGAGGATGGACGTCCGAGCGACGGCGAGGGTCACCACCCACCAAACCACCCCAACCCAACCCGAAGGCTCAGATTTACCCTCGATTTCTAGTGGGGGGGGTTCCGGGAACATCGAAAAAACACAGATGGAGCCCATACCCCCCCCAACCCGAAATTCGGGTCTTCGGGTTGGGTTGGGGTGGTCTGGTAGGTAGTCAGAGAGCGCTGGACCGAGGCTCGCCGCGCGTGGGCGCTCGGCAGGCGGAGGGCCCGCGCTGGCTCCGCGCGCGTGGTCCTCCCGGGCGGCATGCCCGGGCGTCGCCTCCCTCTCGGGCGCGGCGTCCTCCCTCCCGCGGGCTCCCTCCTCCCTCCTCCCTCCTCCCTCCTCCCTCCTCCTCCTCCCTCCTCCTCCTCCTCCCTCCTCCTCCTCCTCCTCCTCCTCCTCCTCTCCTCCTCCTCCTCCTCCTCCTCCTCCTCCTCCTCTCCTCCTCCTCCTCCTCCTCCTCCTCCTCCTCCTCCTCCTCCTCCTCCTCCTCCTCCTCCTCCTCCTCCTCATCGCCTCCCTCTCGGGCGGGCTCCCACGAAGCTCGCGGCGCTCCTCCGGCTTGGCATCGCTCGGACGTGTGCATTTGTCCTTTGGCGAGGCCCATCGATGGGCATTCGTGATCACTTGGCGAAACAACCACGCAGGACACCGAACAAAAAGCACAGGGAATGGACGTCCGAGCGATGGCCAGCTGGGCGCTGGATGCCGGGGGGGGGCCTCCTTCGGCACATCATGGTGCGCTCTCTGCTTTTTGACCGAGATCGCGGCCGCTTCTCCCCAATTCCCCCATGGCTGTGTTCCCGGAAGCGGTGTCTTCAGGCGTTGCCTTTCAAGTGCGTGTGTCTTCCCCATGCCTTTGGCGTACGTATTTTCCCATGCCCGTGGAGGCCCTCCTCTCCATCGCGGTCCTCTGCGATGTCACGTGGAAGACTTCCTACCACGATTGTGGTAAGGATTATGTTGTTAATGGGTCCATTGGTAACGGTTATTAGGTAAGGTTTCTTGTGCTGGGCTTCCTTCAGGGAGGATTCCTTGGTGCGGGCTCCTTGAGTAAGGATTCCTTTAGTCAGAATTCAGTTGGTAAGGATTCTTTTGTCAGGGCAATTTCTTCCCAGTTCTTGGAGAACGCTTCTTTCGTAAGGATGCTTGTAGTAAGGGTTCCTGGGAGAAGGGTCCCTTTGAGTAAGGATTCTCGAGTGATGGTTCTTCAGTGCGGATTCCAGTAGCCCGAGGGTGTTCCCAACATGTCTGCCGCCACCGCTTTGTATTATGTGCGATTGGCTCTTGTTTCAGGATATTCCCAAACATTTGTCACTCGTAAGGATTCCGTCTCACAGCGGGGTCGCCCATCGGACGTCGTGGTTGTCTCTGGGATTGTGTTTTTTGTCTCCGATGATTTTCTAGTTGTCCTGAAGGTGATCCAAAAGCTTTTGCCACTATCGCTTTGAGTGTGTTGTTGCTGTGTGTGCTGTTTGCTTGCAGGCGTTCCCAAAGTCCTGGCACTCCTCTGGAAGGGGGAAGCGGCGGAAGCGGCGAAGGAGGGGGCGAGGGATGATGGAGAGGATGAGGAGGAGGAGGAGGAGGAAACGAAAGGAGTGGAGGAAAAGGAGAAGGGCAAGGAGGAGAAGGATGACAAGGACTACGGAAGACGACGGGGAACAGCGATGGAGGAAGGAAATGAAAAGGAGGAACGCTGAATTCCACCAGGCCTGCTTTGCGCCCCAAGCCGTATCGCCCCCCCCCCCCATTCGGCAACGCCCCAATTCCCGCCTGCCGCCGACCCCCCCTCCTCCGCCGCCGTCGCCCTCGGCCCCCCCCCCCCCTCTCTCCTGACCCTCGGCGGCGGCGACCCGCGCGGCAGGACGGGCCCCGAGGAGAAGGAGGAGGTCGCGGACGCCGAGTCTTCGTCGCCTACTGGGCCCGCGGCGGAGGAGGAGGAGGAGGAGGAGGTCCGGGGGGCAGCGCTGCGGGGGGAATTGCTCAGAGGGGGGGCGCATCGACCCCAATCGCGCACTCATCGCTGGTAAGGCCCTGCCCAGGAGCGATGCGGTCTCGCTCTCGAAAGCCTTTCGCCGATCGGTCGGCGATGTACTGCCGATTCCAGGTCGATGCTTCCCCCCTGGGCGGGCCCCTCCCGACGTCCCCGCCCAGGAAGAGGAGGAGGACGGCGGCAAGGGCCCCCCAGAGGGCGGGGCCGCGGCCGCCGGCGAGAAGGCCTCAGAGGCTCTCGGCGCCCTCCTTGCGGGGGCTGGGTGGGCGCGCCGGCACTGCCGCCTACCACTTCGGGCCCCGTCCTGCTATTCCTACTCTCGCCTGTTTCGGCCTTCACTCGTTTCTCTCTTTCTCTCCTTCTCTTTTTTTGATGATTGTTTCTCTCTCTCTCTCTCTTGTTTGTTGCGTCTCTCTCTACATATATCTCTGCCTCTCTGTCTGTGTTATTGTCTGTTTGTTTTTCTGTCTGTCGGTCGGTCGGTCGGCGGTCTGTCTGTCTGTCTGTCTCTCTCTCTCTCTCTCTCTCTGTGTCTGTCTCCCTCCGTCTGTTTCGTACATATGTCTATATGGTGGACTCGTACATCTAAATAGTAGATGAGCAACTGTACTGCAATACAGAGGTTCGCATCACCTATGTTCGAGTCACGCTGTCGGCATCGGCTGTCTCTCTGCTGTAATGTGTTTTATCCGCTGGCTCTGGTTTACATGAAAATACTGCTAAACCGGAGCATGTAATATGACGCTTGTAAACAAGGACTGGCTCGAACACAGAATTTGCTGTTCTGGGATATTTGTAAAGTCCAGATCTCATCTAAACATTGCGTTCGGACAATATGGTTGTATGTTTGTTGGTCAGTGTTGGTTCACATGTATTTTCATACTTCTACGTGTCTTCATGGAGCATGTTCGGGTATCACACGATTGTGTCGAAGTAGTGTGTTTCTCTCTGCTACGGTTTCCGTTCGTGGGCATGCTTTGCGCGAGTACGCTCGAGCATGGCCGATCTGAGGGTGAAGCAGAACCTGCGACCAATCGAAGCTGAAATTTCGCAATCAATCAATCAATCTATATATCTATATATATATGCAGGTACGCTTGCAGGACCACCCGCGTGACAATACATACGCAGATCTAAACAAGCAGAGAACACATTGCGAAAAGCGAAACATGAGATAATCACCACGGCGGAGAACGTGCAAGCTGAAGACATACTGATTTATTCGTTTCTCTCTCTATATATATATAAAAATATAAATGTCCCGCTCAGCGCCTGCACTGAATGGGTCTCCGCAGCAATGACGGATTTGGCGAAAGGCTCAGGCTGATTCGGTAGGCGGTTGGGTTCTCTGGCTCCCGGTTCCCAGGCTCCCTGGTTCCCAGTTCCAGGTTTCCGCGCCACATAGAACCACATACATTGTACCGCATAGGTTGCGCCACATAGATTGCACCGCATATTTGGCCCCACATCGATTGCACCGCCTAGATTGCTGGAAACACCTTGTGTGGGATCCACGCCGGCTAACGTATACTAGTACTGTTAAATGTGCATTGCACGCAAACACCGCGTGCTGCATGAACCTCTCAGTATGAATTGCATGTTTGCACGCGTACTTTCAATCACACCATGCATGAACCCATGGCGCCTTGCATCGACCATTCGTGCTTTTGCTACGCATGAGTTCCAGTTGTCAGATGCTGGGCTTCCTTTTTGAAATGTTGCGGCAGGTGTCAGAGAGTGCCCTGCAGGTGCGAAAACCCCGAGGGGCCGCGCAGGATTGGTGAACGACGACAGAGGTCAGCATTACGAGAGACATGCCGCCCCTGCGTTGCCAGTAAGTGGTTGGTGCGCGTCACCACCCCATGAGGAGCCCCCATCGTTAGCCCATCCAGCATGCGGGTATTCATCTGGTTTCAGAATGCCCAGGTGACGGCAGTTATTCTGTCTCAGTTTCAGAGACGCGTTTGAGTCGCGCTATCAGGGCGGAGGCGCCGGCTGCGGTTTTCGAGGTGGCATCAAAACACATGCGTTCGAGATGCCATGCACGGCGAGCCATGGAGCAGCATGCGATAGGGAATTGCGATGAGGAGATCGGGAAAATAGGGGAAACTAATTGCATTAGTGGCAGGCGCCAGGACGACCTGGTTCTAGTGGAGCAATTCGCGCACGAGCGCGGCGGGACAGATGTCCACCAGGAGCAGGCGTCGCACGAGCGCAGGAAATGCCCCAAATGGGAACGCAAAAACGCCTTCATGACCAAGGCCGCGCCGCGGGGACTGGCGAGAACCCAGGCCGGGCGCGTCTGGAGGCGCCGCCCGTCATCGCGAAGTGTCTGGTGCGCGCCAGTTCGTCGACATGGCCTGGACAACGACCCACGCATCGAATTTGACTACTGCGGGTCGCGTGGACGATGGGTTTGCGACGTGGCGCGTCGATTTAGTCCAGGAGCTCACGCTTTCGACTCCTGGCGGCACCCTCGCTGCAAACGATCGCCGCGCCCCCCGCGCCGCATGTCCCAGCGCGCGCGGAACGTCAGATGCAGCGGCCGCTCTGGCAGCGCCGGTCCAGCGCGAGCAGGCCGCGCGGGATCCCGGCCGCGCTTTCGAGGGGGCGGCCGCCGCCGAGGAGACTTGCGCCCAGGGCAAGAATGGCGGCGGTCGCCGGGCGCGCGGCGCCAGCGTCGGCGACGCCCGCGCGGGGTCCGGGGAGAACGACGACAATGGGTTGCGAACAGATGAGTGGCTGCAAGCGCGTGGACGGCACAAAAGGAGGCTGCAGCGCCCGAGGCTATGCCGCCAGCCTGGGCGCCGCGAACAAACCGGGCAGCGCTGACCTGCCCAGCTGGCTCGGGAGTTGTGTTACTTGAGCCAAGACGGCTACGGATGTCCTCCTCTTCCTCCTCCTCCTCCTCCTCCTTCCCCCTCCTCCTCGGCTTCATCCTCCTCCCAGGTCGATGTTCCCCCCCGGTGCCACTCCCTCCCTGTCGCTGCCGCTCAAAATTGCTTCCTGGGGGAGGGGTCGGGACGTCGTTGGCCGCGGACATGTCTCCGCGGATGTCTGGGGAGTCTCAAGGACACGCCGCCGCTGGGAGCCCCTATGCGCGTGATTCCTTCTTGCTTGTGCGCGGAAGCTTGTTTTTTTTTGTTTGGTTCATCCGAAGTGGCGCACTGATGGATTCTCCACGGCGGCGTGGCATTGGCACTGCTTTCCCAGACCCCCCCGCGCTGTGAAAAATCACGACGGGAGGTGTTTCGCTATTTTCGGCCTCCGGGGGCGCATGTGTATATATATATATATGTTTATATATACATATGTGTATATATAATGTAAACGTGTGTGTGTATGCGGGTGTCGCTGCTCCTCTTTACCTCTCTCCCTCTCTGGCTCTCTCTCCCCTTCTCTCTTGCTCGTGCCTCTCTCTCTCGTTGTTTCTCTTTCTCTCTGTCTCTCTCTCTCTCTCTCTCTTTCTCCCGCTCTCTCCCTCTACAAATCATATGTATGTGTCATTGGGTTGCTCTTCTTCCGATGTCTCTACGTAAGCGTTGATGTCTGTGTATGTGCATGTACGCGTGTATGCATAGGTCCGCCCAAGCGTGCACGGATGTCTCTCCATTGGTGTGCGTATGTATGTATGTATGTATGTATGTATGGATGGATGGATGGATGGATGGATGGATGGATGGATGGATGGATGGATGGATGGATGGATGGATGGATGGATGGATGGATGTATGTATGTATGTATGTATATATATATGTATGTATGTATGTATGTATGTATGTATGTATGTATGTATGTATGTATGTATGTATGTATGTATGTATGTATGTATGTATGTATGTATGTATGTATGTATGTATGTATGAAAGAGCGTGTTCTACCGCTGCTGGCGGAAAACCGCGGGGGGTCACTACCGGTTCGAACACCCCCCCCCTCCGGAAAACCGAAGGGGGTCACTACCGGTTCAAACCCCTCCCCCCCCCCCCCAGTTCATCATGAAAAGGGGGGGGGTCACTACCGGTTCGAACCGCCCCCCCCTCGAAAACCGAGTGGGTGGGGGTGCGGACAGTGGTGGGGACGGTGTTGGTGGGGACAGTGGTGAGGGGACAGCGGGACAGTGGTGGGGACAGTGGGACAGTGGGACAGTGGTGGGGACGGTAGTGGTGGGGGCAGTGGTGGGGACAATGGTGGGAACAGGGGGGAGAGTGGACAGTGGTGGGGACGGTGGTGGTGGGGACAGTGGTGTGGGGACAGTGGGAATGAGGTGGAAACAGTGGGACAGTGGAGTGTACAATGGTGGTGGGGATAGTGGTGAAGGCGGTGGCGAGGACGGCGGTGGGACAATGGGACAGAGGTACAGTGGGGACAGTGGTGGGGACAGTGGGGACAGTGGTGGGAACAGTGGGACAGCTCAGTGGGACAGCGGAGGAGTCAGTGGGACAGTGGGGACAGTGGGGATAGTCGGGCAGTGGTTGGGGCCGTGGAGACAGTGGGGAGAGTGGAACCGTGGTGGGAACAGTGGTGGGGACAGTGGGGACAGTGCGACAGTGGTGGGGGCACTGGTGGGGACAGTAGGGACGGTGGTGGAACCAGTGGGGACAGTGGTGGTGAGGACAGTGGTGCTGGGAACAACAGTGGGGGATGTGATGCGGACGGTGGTAGGGACCGGGAGTCGTTTGCTGGCGGTGCGTGTGGGGAGGGGGGGGTCGAACCGGTAGTGACCTCCCTCGGGTTTTCGAGGGGGGGGGGGGGTCGAGCCGGGGGGGGGTTTTCGGGAGGGGGGGGGGGGGGGGGAGCGACCCCGGGTTCCGGAGGAAAAGGTTGGCAATTTTCCACAGTAAAGCGGCGGTGGATCACGCTCTCTCGTATGTATGTATGTAGTATGTATATGTATGTATGTGTATGTATGTATGTATGCATGTATGTATGTATATGTATGTATGTATGTATGTATGTATGTATGTATGTATGTATGTATGTATGTATGTATGTATGTATGTATGTATGTATGTATGTATGTATGTATGTATGTATGTATGTATGTATGTATGTATGTATGTATGTATGTATGTATGTATGTATGTATGTATGTATGTATGTATGTATGTATGTATGTATGTATGTATGTATGTATGTATGTGTGTGTCTGTATGTATGTATGTATGTATGCATGCATGCATGCATGCATGCATGCATGCATGCATGTGTGTATGTATGTATGTATGTATGTATGTATGTATGCATGCATGCATGCATGCATGTAGGTAGGTAGGTAGGTAGGTAGGTAGGTCGGTAGGCAGGTAGGTAGGTATGTATGCATTCATGCATGTATGTATGTGTGTATGTCTGTGTGTATGTCTGTACGTATGTACACACCAATACATAAGTACATGTGTGTACACATACATACAATCATACATGCATACATACGTTCATTCATACATATATACAAACATGCTTATCATATGTATATATAAATGTCGTTGCAGGTCACCGGATGCACATGGTTGCGATCACACGCTCGAATGCACAGGGTCGTACGTACCTTCATGTATCGCAGTCCCTATCGAAGACGCCTACGGCGAATCACCGCCGCCCCCTGCCTTTTTGGAAGCGCCTATGCGGCCGAACGTTGAGGCCAGACTTGCCACGCTATCGGACCATGTGTTCCCCGAATCGGTTTGGAAAGCCTTCGGGGAACACGTGGGCATCTTGAAGGTCATCTTGGCCGCCTGGAGGCCATTTTGACCCTTTCGGGCCTTCTTGGAGGACGTCTTGGAGGGCTCTTGGGCCGTCTTGGAGGCCATCTTGAGCGTCTTGGAGGCCTCTTCGGCCGTCTCGGGGCCTCTTGGGGCCGTCTTGGGCCTCTTGGGCGATCTTTGGGAGCACTTTGGCCGTCTCGGGCCGTCGGAAGGCCGAACAAAAAGCAAATGCCACAGTCCTTGTAAAAGTTTTGGGTAATCAATGATTTTGGCCTTTTCGGGCCTTCCTGGAGTCTTGGAGGCCTCTTGGGCCGTCTTGGGCCATCTTAGTGCCATCTTCGGCCGTCTTGGTGGGCCCCTGGCCCGTCCGACGCAGTCGGAAGCCGTTTGGGGGGCCTCTCTGAGCCGATTTGGGGCCCTCTTGGAATGCTCCAGGGCCGTCTTGGAGGCCATCTTGGGCGTCTGAAAAACTTCCTTGACTGTCTTGCGGGCCTTTGGGGGCCGTCTTGGGGGCCTCGTCGGCCGTCTCGGGGCCATCTTGGAGGCCTCTTGGGCGATCTTTGGGCGATCTTTGGGGGCACTTGGGCCGTATCGGGCCGTCGGAAGGCCGAAACGAAGCAAATGTCAACATCCTTCGAAAACTTTTGGGAAATCAGTGTTTTTTGTATTTTCTGGCCTTCCTGGAGGTCCTCTTGGAGGCCTGTTGGGCAGTCATGGGCCAGCTTCGAGCCAACTTCGGCCATCTTGGTGGGCTCCTGGCCCGTCTGACGCCGTCGGAAGCCGTTTGGGTGGCCTTTCTGGGCCGACTTGGGGTCCTCTTGGGGTGCTCCAGGGCCGTCTTAGAGGTCATCTTGGGCGTCTTGGAGGCCTCTTGGGTCGTCTTTGTGCCCTCCTGGGCCCGTCTTGGGGGCCTCTTGGGCAGTCCTGAGGCCATCTTGGAGGCCTCTTGGGCGCTGTGGGGGCGATCTTGGGGGCCTCTTGGGCCGTCTTGGGTCGTCGGAAAGCCGAGAAGATGCGAATGCCCAAATCTTTATAAACCTAAAGAAAATCAATGATGTTGGCCTCTTCGGGCCCTCCTGGAGGACTTCTTGGAGGCCTCTTGGGCCGTCTTGGAGGCCTCTGGGGAGCCCCTTGGGCCGTCTTGGGCCGTCTTGGACTCTCTTGGGCCGTCTGGGAGGCCGTCTTGGACCATCTTGGGCGGACTTGGAGGCCGTCTTGGACCATCTTGGAGGCCATCTTGGGCCAACGTGGCCATCTTGGATGCCATATTGGGCAATTTTGAGCGAAACATTTGGGAATTGTGCTCCTTTCCGGGTGGCCGGCGGGACGCGCCGGAGCCCCAGGGGGAGATCTTTTTGGAAAGAGAACCACAATTAAAACCGAGAGGATTCAGCACGCCAGGCACCCCTGCGATGAATAGACAGGGGGCGGCGGATATACAGTTGCCTACGGCAAGACCCGCCACGGTGCCGGGGTTATTGGTATCAAGCCTTTTAGATGCTCGTTGGGATCTCGTGGGGGACCTCTCGGGGGCCTCTTGGAGGTGGGGCTTCTTTTGGGCCTCTTGGGGGCTTGTTGGGGCCTCTTGCGGTCTGTGGGGGCTTCTTGGGGCCTCCTGGGGGCCTCTCTGGGCGGAAGGCTAAGTTGTTCGGTTCGTGTTCCCTCTCTTGGGCTCCTTTCGGGCCGTTTGGGGGCCTTCTTGAGCCGTCTTGGGCGCCTCTTGGGCCGTCTTGGGGCGCTCTTAGGCCGTCTTGAGACTCTCTTGGAGGCCTCTTCAGCCATTTTGGGGGTGGTCCTCTTGAGCCGTCGTGGAGCGTCGGAAAGTCGAATAAGCGGGAACGCCGAGATCTTTCAAACACCTCTGGGAAATCAATGATGTTGCCTCTTGGGGCTCTTTTTTGGAGGCCTCTCGGAGGCCTCTTGGGGCTTCTTGGAGACCTCTTGGGCTATCCTTGAGGCCACCGTGGGCATCTTCGAGCGATCGTTTGGCGACTCGGGGCCCTCTTGGAGCGTCGTGGGACCTCCTTGGCCATCGTGGAAGCCTTGGAGAGCCACGGGGAGGCACCATGGCCGCCCAGGGACCCCCTGTAATAGGGGCGATTCAATCAGGCAAACGTGACCGCGGGGGTGGGGAGGTCCCTTCGAAGATTACAGCAGCCCTGCCAGCTGGCATTCTTCTACCCCGCAGTGCAGCAGGCACGGTGGCGGATCTCTCGTTCTTGCTCTCTTTCATGTTCTCTCTCTCTCTCTCTCCCTCTATCGTGTGCGCTTTGTCGTTCTCGTTATCTCTCTCTCTCTCTCTCTCTTTCCAGTTATCTCTCTCTCTCTCTCTTTCTGCCTCTCTTTCTGCCTCTCTTTCTCTCCCTCTCTCTCTCTCGTTCACTTTCTCTCCCGGCATATACATGAATAGCCCTATATATATATATGTATAGGCATGTATGCAGACACCAACGTTCTCACACATGCCGCACAAATTGATACATGTTCCGATCCACCTCTCGGTTGCCTATCCTCTCCCAATGCTTCCATCTCGCCTCCGCTTCTGTGTTACCCAACTTTTCTGAACCATCCTCGATCCATCTCTCTCTCTCTCTCCATTTCTGTTTATTCTCCCCTTTCTCACTTTAGCTTCCTCTCTCTCCCTCTCTCTCTCTCTCTCTTGCCTACCAGTTTCCCCCCTCTCTCTCTCCTGTTCCTCTCTATCTCCCTCTCTCTATATTTTGCCCCGCCTCCCCCTTCTTGCATCTTCCGGTATCACGTTGCCTTCATTGCCTGGTCTCGTTCCCCTCGAAACGCGCAGGCATGGCGAGGTGGGAGTCCGACTTCTGTGCGCAGAGAGGGTGGGTGCTCGAGGCAATCGCAAAACCCCACGGTGGTTTCTCTACGTTTACCCGTAGTGGGACGGGCTCACTTGATGCAGCGGTTTTGTCTCATTGCCGTCTTCTCCCAATCCCCCTCCACGCCAACCTTTCCATCCTCGCCCGCGCCATCGCTGCCCCTTCCGCATCGTTTTCTACCCGCTCCTATCCATCCTCATACTCCTCCTTTTGCTTATGCCAGAAATTCCTTTTCCGCTTCTCCCCTCCTCCCAGAGGTCTCCTGAGGTCTTCGGAGGTCTCTGGAGGCCCCTGGAGCCACTGGACCCCAGCAGGTGCAGAGCTTTTCCGGCAAATCGGCCCTCGATCCGCGACCCCTTCCTAGCTGCTCCCTCTCTCCTTCCTTTCCCTGTGCGCACTTCAAGGGAGAAGAGAAAGAACGTGAGAAGGCGAAGGAGAACGGTAAGGAGAAGGCGAAGGAAAAGGACAAAGAACATTCGAAGGACAAAGGGAAGGAGAAGGCGAAGGACAAGGAGAAGGAGACGGCGAAGGAGAAGGAGAAGGAGAAAGAAAAGGCGAAGGATAAGGAGAAGGGGAAGGAAAAGGACAAGGAAAAAGAGAAGCACAAGGAGAAAGATAAGGAGAAGGACAACACAAAGGCCAAGGCGAAAAATAAGTCCTCGTCGCAGGACAAGAGCGACGAAAAGAAAAAGAAGGTGGCGGAGTGTGCTCTGCCTCCAATCTTGCTTGATGTCCCGTAGTGTTGCCATGCTGATTGTCGTATTGCTATTTGGTTGTCAGGGTTGTGCGACGCCTTCCTTTGTTTCTCGTATGTTCGCGGAATGCGTAGGTGAAATACGTTGCTCGCGGCTCTTCAGGGGTGCATGCGTGGCTGCGCGACACGAGCATGCCCAATTTCTCGTCTACGGCTCAGGCGTTCTGAACGACGTACTCTCCCTTTGAATTCGAAGCGAGACGGCATCGAACGTGCGTGGCAGTCCCCGGGTAGGTAGGCTATTGCGTCAGGGCCGACCTCTTTACATACATTTGTTTGCCGGGCGCAGGTAAGGCTACGCCAGCTCTCTTTTACGTATACATGATGATTAGTACGGGTAGGAATGATCCGCTTTTCATTATGAGGCAGTGTGGAGAGTTGCGCGGTATTGCACCAGCTGTCAGTAATAGTTGTGGCATTATGATATCGTGTGGGATCTTCGGTATGACGATCTACCACGCGCCCCCAGGGGAAAGAGCGTGAGAAAGTGAAAGACAACGATAAAGGAAAGAAGAGAAGTAAGGGTGCTAGCAGCAACGTCAGCAGCGACGACCACAAGCGGAAACGCAGAAAAGAGGAGAGCAGTGACGAAAAGCATCGCAAGCGCAGAAAAGAGGACGGCAGCGACGAGAAAGCCCGGAAGAAAAGGAAAGCTGACAGCAGCGACGACAAGAAAAAGAAGAGCAGGGATAAAGAACAGTCGAAGGAAAAGGATCCATCTAGAGACAAGAAGGCAGCCGAGAGGGAAAAAGCCAACGAGAAGGCGACCATGCGCATGCATTGTTGTACACGCATGCGTGGTTGAATGTTTTGTAAAGGCACGGTACGGGCGTGAGGATAGACATTGTTGTCCGAGGCGTGCCGATCTTCTTTTTCTCCCCTTCTTCCTTTCATATTTCCGCCGTCCTCTATGTCGAACTGAATGTGTCAGAGTTTCTCGTCCTCTTCTTCCTCCACCCCCTCCCTTTCGGAACAGCTTCAGCGTAATTCAGAGGAGGATGCGCCTCATCCTCCTTTGCGAAAGACCAGCAAAAACACAGCCCTCCAGCTGTACCGCCGTGCCGCTGGAAGGTGTGGTCGGGCCTTTCTGCGATCGAGCCGTGGTCGCAGGAGCGCGCGGTGCTGCAGACAGACAGACGGGATGCCCGCAGGGCCAGAGATCTCACGGCCAAGCGTTGGATGAAGGACCACCTACGGCTCGGGAGGGGTTTGGTCTCCGGGCCGCTCCTCAGATTTAGGCCTGGGACTTTGAGCCGGCTGGGGGTCTGGGTTGGCCATGCACTGGTTCTAGCGAGCAGGAAGGGGGGGACGAGCTCTGGGTCTGAGAAGGTGTTTTGCCATGTTCTGCCTCCGCGGGCTCCCACATTCAACGTTCCGAACAGAGCAGGCAGATGCGAGGAGGAGGATGAGGGGCAGGAAGAGTTTGAGGGGGAGTAGAAGGTGGAGGAGGTGGACGGGGCGAGGACCATGACGAGTGTTATCCCTCGGCCGTGGCCCCTGGCGAAACTCTCCAGCTCTCATCCCTTTATTGTGCTCTGAAGGTCGCTTTGATATTGGCGGCCACTGGTGCACTGCCGCTTGCTGTCCCGCATCTCCAATGTTAACATGCCCCACCCGCGACGAATTCCACACAGGAGAAGGGGAAGAAGAGACGCGACGGCAGCGAGGATTCCAGCGAGCAGCGGAGGCAAAAGGACAAGGAGAAGGAGAAGAGAAAAAGAGAAGAGGAGAAGAAGGACCCACCTCCGCAGCCGCTTTCGCTCCGCGGAGGGGGCCTCGCCGACGCCCGTGTCCCATTGCGCCTACGCGCGCGCCGTCTGGACGCTGGAATGAGGACAGCTCTGAATTCAGGAGGCGCGCTGGCTTTCGGGCCGTCTCCCAGGTCCAAGTCTGGGAGCCCCTTCGTGGCCGAGGCTCGCCGTGGCCGGAAAAAGCCCCTTCGCTCCTTCTTCGGCGTTCCCTATGGTAGCCCGATGGCTGTACACCTTAGGCGATGCTTAAGAAAACCTAAAGTTTCGGCCAGAGTCTCGATTATTCTTAACTTTTGAATGTAAATCCCAAGATTTTGATAGAAGTTTTGGGTTTTAGTCAATTTCTGAGACTATGAATTTCTTAACCCATGATTTCTTAAGCATTTCGCAGGGTGTATCCGCCATGGCGCCGCAGAGGAGAAGGGATCCAGAGCACCCGCTGCCCATGAGCCTCGCCTTGGGCTTCTCCGGTTTTTGCAGGGTGGCCTGCAGCGTGGGAGCGTGGAGCAGCCGGTGGCGCACGGTGCGTCGACGCGCATGTGGGAGGGCTTCTGCTGCCCCGCAGGAGGCAAGGTCAAGAACAAGAGGGCCCGACACACGTCAGGCGCGGCACAGCCTGGTCGCGGACGATTGTCGTTCGACCCGCATGGCGAAGAGTCGTCGCTTCGATGTCCATTGGGGGGCTGGTAGCCACGATAAGGCAGTGGGCAGTGGGCAGATGAGATAAGCAGCCGGCCTGCCCGTGGGCTCCCTGCGGAAGTTTCTCACCCCCCGATGGTTCCAGGACGTTTATCGGTGACCCAATTTCTTCCTTTACATCAGTGACCCAATGTCTTCCTTTACAGTTATCAGTGACTCCATCAGTTATCAGTTTCTTCTTCGTTTGGGTTCCAGGACGTTTATCAGTCACTCTCTTCATCATTGCAGGGACGCTTATCGGTGACCCAATTTCTTCCTTTGCAGCCGAGGCGCTCGCCTTAGAGGAGGCCGCGAAAGCTGTGGAAGAGCTCATTTACAGGATAGGCGAGCGGCCATCAGGATTCTGATCTAGGCCAAGGGAAAGATGGTTCCAGGGGGCTCACAAAGGTCGACAGACGTCTGGGAATTTGATAAATGTGGTCCTGCTGACTTACAGCAGGATTTCGGATCGTTCGTATGGTAAGGCTTCGGGCTGCGCGCAGACAGCCCCCCAGGTGGTCCCGGCTGGCCTCAATAGGCCTCCTGAGTAGTCCCAGCTGGCCTCGTCAGGCCCCCCTTTTTGTTAGGGTAGCCAAACGTTTGGGCGAAGTTTTGCCACGCTATTGGACCATGTGCTCCCCAGCCGTTGTGGATGCCCTTCTGGGAACACGTGGGGCAGGAAGAGGAGGATGAGGCGAGGGAGGAAAAAGGAGGAAAACGACAAGGATGAGGAGACCTCTTTTGAGCTCCTTGGGTCATTCTTGGGGCCTCCTGAGGGCATCCTGAGTGCTTCTGAGAGGCTTCTTGGGAGCCTCGCTTCTAAGGAGCCTCCTTGGGCCTCTTGGGGGCCTTTGGGGGCTTCTTGTGTGGATCCTAGGCGCTCTTACGGCGTTCCTGGCCCGTCGGGAGCCGTCTTGGGGGCCTCTCTAGGCCGTCGTGGGGCCCTGTTGGTGCGCTTCAGGGTCGTCTTGAATGCCATCGTGGCGTCTTGGAGGCCTCTTGGGCCGTCTTGGGAACCTCTTAGGGCGCTCCAGGGTCGTCCAGAAGGCCTTCTTGTGCATCTTTGGGGCCTCCTGGGCCGTCTTGGGGCCATTTGGGGGTCGTCTTGGAAGCCTATGGGCAGTCCTGGGGCCATATTGGAAGCCTCCTCGGCGATCTTGGTGCAATCTGACCCCCTGGAGGCTTCTTGGGCCGTCTTATGGGCCTCTTGGGCGCGTCTTGGGCCATCTTGGGCCATCTTGGCGGTCTTGGACGCATCTTGGAGGCATCTTGGCGGTTTATGGCGACCGTCTTTGAGGCCATCTCGGGACTGTCTTGGACTCTCTTGGAGGTATCTTGGGGGCCATTTGGGCCGTCTTGGAGGCAATTGAGCCAACGGAATTGGATTTCTCGAACGTTTTGCGCGGCCTTCGGGTTGGCCGGAGGCTTGGGCTGTTCAGGCCCCCGCAGACCAGGACACAGACTAACCAGGACATTGGCAAGTCAGGGAAACGACACCAGTTCCTGCAAAGTCAGATTTGATCGTCCAGTGTCGTTTTGTTCTGCTGTGCTGCAGGATTCGGGTCTTTGTCTGGGTCTAGGGGTTGTTGTGCATGCGTTGAGGGCTTGTGTCCTGGTATATTTAATCGCTTCGCTCATGCCGCTGGCCCTGGAGCCCTCTTTAGGGCCTCTTGGGGGCCTCTTGGGGACCTCTTGGGAGTCTCTTGGGGCTCCTTGGCGGCGTTTTGGAGGCCCCCAGGGCCTCTTGGGGGGCTCTTGGGGGTAGTCGATTGCGGCTCCCCCCTCGGAGGCCACGATCCTCGTGAGGGGTGTCGAAAAATACCCTCCCCTGGAGTGGTCTGGTGGCTTCTCCCGGGCTTCTCTCGGGACCTTGCCGGGGTACTTTTCGTCCGGGGGCCCCCAGGGGCCGCTCCGCGCGCGCGAACTAGAAATATTGTTAACAAGTTACCGGAGATCTTAGCACGCCTCTGGCCCGTTGGGCCGGCGAATTATGGACATGTTGCAGTGCAGTTTGGGTTTCGTGTCGCCGTTTGGAAAAGTTGGTTTCGAGGGTTGTTGGATGTCTTGGTCAAGCGTGTCCTGGTCTACGGGGCCCTGAGCCGAAGCTCCAGTGGGAGTCGAAAACAACACAAACCCACCCAGACGTCCAGCACGCCAGGCACCCCTGTGGCAGCCACAGAGGGCGGTGGATGACGGAAAGCGCGCGTAAAGTCGCGATTCGTTAGCCGGGGGGGAAAATTCAGGCGGAGTGTGAGGGGGTTGGCATGGGCGGGCCCAGGTAACGGACAGAGCGAGGTACGAGTGATGACGTTGTGTTTGGGCGAAGCCCTCTAGGGAGGGGTGCAGGGGAAGGGGGGAGGGGCGGAGGGATGGGTCGAATGGCCGCTCGGGACGTCTTGGAGGCCTCTTGGGCGCTTCTTGGACCATCAGAGGCGCCCAAAAAGGCCCAAGATAACTCCAAGACGGCCCAAGAGCGCTCCAAGAGAGCCCAAGACGGACCAAGAGGCCTCCAAGACGCCCCAAGAGGCGCCCAAGGGGCGTCCCAAGAGGGCCCCAAGAGGCATTTTCAGCATTTTCAGCATGCGCGACTTTTCGGCCTCAACGGCGTCGACGACGGCCCAAGAGGCCCCCAAAACCGCCCCAGGACGGCCCGAGAGGCTCCCAAGAGGCCCCCAACACGGCCCGAGAGGTTCCCAAAACGGCCCAAGAGGCCCCAAGAGGCTCCCAAGAGGCCCTCCAAGAGGCCCCAGGATGCAAACCACATTGATTCCTTATAGGAAAACATACATTTTAATATACACGGCTTTTCAGATTTCACGGCATTGACGACGGCCCAGAAGGCCCCCCAAACCGCCCAAAGACGGCCCAATAGGTTCCCAAAAGGCCACCACAACCGCCCAAGAGGGCCCCAAGGCGGCCCAAGAGGCGCCCCCAAGTCGGCCCAAGGCAGTTCCAAGAGCGCCTAAGCCTCGGCCACGACGGCCTGAGGGAGGCCCAAGAGGGCCCCAATACGGCCCGAGATCGCTCATACAGGGCCCAGGATGCTTTCAAGACGCCCAAGGAGGCCTACACTACGCTCAACGAGGCTTCCC